GTAGGGATATATAAAAGGCAATAAAAATCCAAATTTAATAAAACACATTTGCTCCCTGATGATCCCATGGGCTATTTGTTATCTCTGTGACAACAAGATAGTTTTGTGTTTGTTTGCAGTGTCAGCAAAACCCCACCAACATTTCTAAGAAGGTAATGAAGCTTTTTATTATAGATTGCAATGGTCAGTTTAATCATAGACATTTGGTTTCTCTTCTTCATGTACAACACTTTAACAGGCTAACTATGACTAAGTGATGCCTTACCCTGCTGTCTTCCTGCATGTCCCACTCGGGGCTGAAAGTCTGAAATGGTTGGCTCCCCTGAGTGCAGTTGGAGAACTGAAACAGACTGGAAAACGTGCGTCTGTTCTCAATCGTGTCAGCAAAGATGGCATCTTGGAAGTTGACCCCATGAGGTCGGATGCTGTAGTTCTCATCCATCCTACAGAGGAGATGAAGGGGACAACTGTAAGCAGCACATTTGAATCTGCATTTAAAAAGAATGCACTCTGCTCCTTTCCAGTATATTTTTGTTCTTGGATTGTACCGGAGAAGCTTTGCATGATTCACAAATTAAAATAATGAGTATTTATGTTAGAAATTTATTAGAAATAGCATTCTGAACCCTGGCTATTTGGTTCTGAGGAATTATTTGCAAATCTACTGATCTTGTTATTTTAAACTTTGGCCATTTTCAATATGAACATCCACCAATGTATTGTATACTATAAGAAAATAACTAGTAGGTCTGCTTTAACAGCCAGAATAGAGAACAGAAATGCATCATGATGTCATAATCTGTGTGGCTGATAAACTGATCATTTGCTAATAACTCCAATTTATAGCTGATAGGTGTACAGTAATAAAAAGTCTTGATGAAGGCCAAAGCCAAAAGTGGCAGTCCTGCAAAGTGGTATTTACTCATTTGTTTTACTACTTTGATTATTTACATACAAACAGTGTTAATTTAAAGGTGCTCTTTCATTTATGTGGCAACAATAATAGATTTGACAAATTCAGGTAAAGCTGAAATAGTTTTTAATTATGGGTTATTTTTTGGTTTGGTTTGGTTTCATTTTTTTTGCAAAAAAAAAATAGAACCAAAAAAATATATCAAATTAATTTTCTGAAATAAAAAGTGACCGTTTTTTCTACCTCACCTGAGGAAAAAGAAATAGGAGTAGTTCTCCATCACGGTGTGGGACTGACAGGACAGGTAACCAAGCCCGGTCAGGTTGAGCCTGGATCCAGAGGGTACCTCCAGCATGCTGCCCCAGGCTTGGTCACACAGCAGTTCCACCTCTGCAGAGTACAGCAGCCCTTCCTCTGCGCCCTCGTACCCGTATCCGAACCCGAAGGGCAAGGAGTTGTACAGACTGCCCACTCCAACGCCCACCGGCTCCCGGTGGATTGCCAGGACCCGGGCATACAAGATGATCTCCGCAAGTTCCGCCCGGCAGCCCTCGCTCAGCGGCCGCCATTCCGAGGGGAGCTGGCAGCCACGCGTAAAGGTGTCCAGATGCGCAAAAACGCAGAGCGTTGCGAGGAGGATAGTCGTGGGAAACATCCCGAAAAGCGTACAAAATCTTATCTGGCACCTCCTAAAGTCTGCGTTGATGAGTCTTTCCTTTTTCCTAAGTGTTTCCAGGAGACCCAGCCAAGTGGCCGAAAGTAAACAAATCTGGTTGATTTTGCAAAAGTTATGCACATGTGTTTACCTCAACCACTTGATGATGCTAAATCACAATGAAAATAATTTTCCAGACAGAGTTTTTGAGCATTAACACAAACTCAAGCTAACTTCAATCGTCTGAAGACTTTTGGAAAGAATAAAGTCGGATTAATATGAATGTGCAAAGACTAACCGCTCCAACCTGCAGCTCTGTCCGTTCTCCTGCTTGGAGGAGGCGAGGTTTAAACAGAGCGATGGTGATGCCTTCAAGGACTCGTGCGCTGCTTTGATATTTAGAGTTTCAATGAGGGGTGGTCGATGCGTTGAAGTGGTATTTTGCCTGATGAAAAGGTGATGAACCTGAGGTTTTGAACCTGTTGACCTCAGACATAATATTATAACCCACATGATGTATAAAACTCTTTCGATCAAAAAGATTATTAATTCAAATATACTCCAGGTTCTTCACAAAACGCGTCGCTTCATGAAACGAATACTTCCTTGAGGAATCGACTTCTTCTTTTCGGCATGTGAAGGCGTTAAACGTGATTATAAAGGGACAATCGCTGTGGTGGGAGATGGTATCACAGGAGCCAGGTTTTGGCTGGAGGAAGTTCCATGGAAGATAAATCAAAGCATCTGAGAAGAATTTGAATGGGTCCAAAGGGGGGTGCTGCTGAAGTTTCCACTGGGTTCCAGGGTACCCCGAATTTGTTTTACAACACACTGGGGGTACAGTGGGTCTTTTTGGTTATTCAAGCGCTATTCTGGGAACTTAGTGTGTCATGTTGTGTGAGTCCCAACATTCTTTCTGATAGACCTTTAATACAAATCTTTGATTTTGGCTACCTATTGTGGGTCAGTGGGGTCCAGTGGCTCCTGGACAAGGATCACTGGGACTTTTGAAGCATTAAGGGAAATCCCGAGGGAGACAATATTTCTGTGGTGAAAATCCTCCAGGGATTCTCTCTCTTTTTTCTTCTTTTTCTTTTTTTTTTACCTGAGATAAGGGATGCACCAGGACTCTATAATGTGATTACATTTCACAATACCTAAAATATTTTATTAAGGATAGCCCACATAAGATATCCTTATCTTATGTGGGCATACGGTAATTTTTATGCAAGCCAAAACTGCTGATGATGCAGCCCATCAGCTTTCACTGGCATTACATGATTTACAAAAATGGCTGAATGACTCATACTTGTGCCTTAATTTTAAAAAGACCGTATCAATGTTTTTTAGTAAGCCTAAAACAACCGTGGCTGCAGTAAAAGTCTGCTTGGGTGCACAAGAATTAATTAATGTTGAGGAATTTAAGTATTTGGGAGTGCTACTAGACTCTAAATTATCCTTTAAAAAACACATTAAAAAAGTAGTGAAAACTGTAAATGTTAATATACAGAACTTAGACATCATTAATAGACACAGCAGCGATTACATTCCTGCATTCTATGATACTGGCTCATATTGAATATTGTATTACAAGTTGGTCCTATATGAGCTCCGCCTATTGGGCCAATTGAAGTATGCTACAAAAGAGCATTGAAAATATTAGATAAAAAACCTTTTTCATATCACCATTGTCAAATTTTAGAAAAATACAAGTTTTTAAATTTTACTAATTTCAAATTATTTAAATCTGCCTGTCTAATATACAAAGTTATACATGGTCTGGCGCCTCCACTAATGAGTGATTTTATTAAACAAAAGTCTAGCAGTGTTGCTGGGTCTCGACTGACTCGAGCCACTGTTAGAGGTGATTGTGAACTGGCACTCAGGCGGACCACCTTTTCACAGCATGCTCTGTCATATCAGGGAGTGAGCTTCTGGAATAGTCTTCCACTGTCAGTGAGGGAAAGTACAAGTCTACCCATCTTTAAGAGTCACTTAAAAGGGCGGCTGAGGGACACACAAACATGTAATCATGTTTAATAATCATGTTTTATATTGGACGGGAAAAAGAGTTAGTGTATTACGAAAAGGAAAACAACTGTTAGTGCAATGGGTGAACACAATATCACGATGGTCAGGGCATGTACAATACTGGGGTTTGTGCAATATAATTGATGTGTTTCCGTTATTGTTATCTATACTGTCCTCTGTGTCCACTCTCCTTGTCATTGTTTGTTCTAGTATAATGTGATCACTGTTTTTGTCCTTGTCACATGACCTGTAAATAGTGTCTCTGTATGTTTTTACTAACTTGTGTTTAACACCAACCTGCCAGAGGGTCTGTAGGTGGAAATTAGCCCAAGGCTATAATCTGGCATATTTACATTTGTTAAAATGTTCATTAATATCTATTGCCCCTCTTTCTAAAAAAATAAAATAAATAAATAAGATCATAGTAAAGATTAATAATCACTTTCAGTTCCTCAACTATAACCACTTTAACAGTCTTCCATACAGTTCTAAGCTCAACCCCCAGTAAGTACAGTGACCATCTCTGATTGCTTTAAACCAGGGGTAGGCAACTCCAGGCCTCAAGTGCAGGTTTTAGACATCACCCTGTGTCAACACACCTAAATCAAATCATTAGTTCATTCCCAGGCCTCTGGAGAACTTCAAGACATGTTGAGGAGGTAATTTAGCCATTTGAATCAGCTGTGTTGGATCAAGGACACTCGAAAACCTGCAGGACACCGGCACTCGAGGTCTGGAGTTGCCTACCTCTGCTTTAAACTAACCTGAACATGAACATCAGTAGATTGCTCTTGAATAAGACTGCCATCTAGTGGAAAGTAAGTATAACTGTATATATAAACGTATAGCTGTAGCTGCACAAACAAGAGCAGAAATGGTGTTTCTCGGACATTCCATTGTATTTTACTACAGTAGCCTCTGAGTGTTCTATGCTACAGTATTGACAGATATCCCATCGGAATCAGTTACACTGTCGTCGCCATTTATCATTCAAAGCTGACATCAGAGGGAATCTCCAGTCCTTCCTTTCCTGTTTGCAAGTGTAAGGTTACTCCTGAGGGGGAATTCCCGCTAACAGCTGATGGTCTAGCCCCGCCCCCACACATGTCAGCCTCTTGCCGATGTGTAAAAAATGCGGATGGACCCGTGCCGCGGCGGCGCTGCTTACGCGCAGGCGCTCTTTGTTCTCAGATCGGTCCTCTGCCCCGTGACGTCACTACGAGGAAATGAAAACCGTCCGTAAACTCCGCACAAGTGAACTCGGTGTCGAGTTGTCGAAAATTAGACCGACTTAGATAGGAACTATGGCTTTCAAAATAAAAGCAAAGCGTTCTTGAAGAATGAATTAAGATTGCCCTAAAAACAAATATCAAAAGGTAAGGACTTCAGAAAGAACAAATAATCACTGTAGTCTTTTAATATGATAAATAGAAGTGAAAATAGCTACACACAATACAGTTTAATGAATATAGTAATGAAATTAAATAAGGCTAATGAAATAAGCCTTATTAAATTCCAGCGCAA